TTTTAATGCTGTTGTTTTAATTTTTTAAGGTATATTCTTACTGCTTTTTATTTCTCAGTGTTACCCTTAGTGTTAAGCACTTTGATAACAGTCTATCTGTTTTAAATTGTGCTCTATAAATAAATATGACTTGACTTGACTTGTTTACAATGATTGCATGTGGGGTCCAGGTCATGCGCCACACATCAGCCACGCCATAAAATTCAAAGAATGAATTGATTGAGCAGACTTAGTCTAAGGTGACCAGATTTCTGACATTGAATCTGAAGACATTTCACTAAAACACAAATGTAACACAGTCATATTATTTAGCCATTTTATTGGAAAGATTTTTTGTCAAGTTGAAAATACAAAATACAGAAATTAACAATAACCTTGAAGATGGTTTAGCTTTGGTCTATACCCCAATGAATTTTCCACAAATCACAGAGTTAGGTCTTGATTGTGTCTACGTGGAGACATGTCCCTTGTGACTAACATTTATGATGTTTACCATGCTTTGTAAATTAAAAATGACTCAAATTAAATGACTCAAATAAAAAAATGACTTGTAGCTTTAAAATGATTAACAGTAAAGCTGGAAGTACTGCAGTTCAGAGATTCTTATGAGAAAATTTTCAAACCTCACAAATCTTCAGTTCGCTGAGATTTAAACATCTAAAAATGACTGGCGTCCAGTAATCCTTTGGGTTTAGGTCACTGTTACAATATCAGTGTGAGAAAGAATATGGTGGACATTAGTACTGGATACATCAAAGGAAGAAGTTATCCTAGTGCCAGATTTATGGGAAACTTTACCCACGATGACCCACTTCAAGAAGAGGGTTCTTTTTGTATTGTTGCAATTCAAGGGTTAAAACCAAGAATACAGCTGTTTTTATTTCGTTTTTTAAATATCATTTTCTTACATTTGTTTTTCAGTTCATATGCTTTCTTTTATGATTGTCTACTGTTGTCATAATTCTTTGTTATAAACAGGTCTCTCTTGTATATGAGTCATCGAGGCTCAATGAGACTAACTATAGAAATAAAGGTTGAATGAACATGATTCCAAGTTTAGTTGTTCTGCTTTCGGCTGTTGCTCTTAGCATTATGCACAATTGCTAGAACTGATGTTGACAAAAATCAAGCGGGGTAAGAGTTTGGGAAGATCAAGGAGCTTCAGCATTTCAGGCACAAAAACAACACTTTCCAACACTCTGAAGCTGGGAGGCCTAATTACCGAAGAGGAGGGAAAGCTTCATTTAGAAACCACCAGGCTTTTACTGGAAATCAGATGTAATAAGTTGCCTGCCCATTTGAGGTCATCACCATCAAAGCACAGTGTTTTTTTTTTTCACAACCTTATTTTTTCGTAAAATTTAAATCAGCCTATTTGGTTTATCCACTGCTGTTGTGTATCATCTGCGTAGAATAATTATCTAACAAAACGCATAAAAGCCGCTCTAAAACTGAACGCCATGGGCTGTAAGAGATGGAGATAAATTATTTATGCTGCTTTGATTAGAGCAGGCTTGTTCTGAGAAGGGAGCAGTGAGTTTTAAATGTTTAGGAGAATTTCAGACGTGGGAAACTTCTCTGGGACGTCGGAGGGGGAAAACACCCAGAAAGTGCCGGAGGAGCACGACAAACACATTTATAAGCAACAATTTATGTCAGGAGCAGTAAAAACATTTTTAAAAAGACTAATTTACCCAATCATGCAGATCCAGAAGGAATAGCAGACTTTGTTTTTTTTTTACCTCCAACCAAATGTAAAAATAAAAAGAGAAAAAAATCTTTCAGTGAATAAACTGAGAAATTGTCCGAAAATTTAAGTTTGTCAGAAACTCCAGAAGACACGTGGAGGCCTCACCTGGATCTAAAGACTACATGACAAACAGACCCAGTTTGTGAGACTGAAGGGTTGTGCGTCTAACCAGGTGGTCAGTAGATCAGGAGCACCACAAGGGGCTGTACTCGCACCATTCCTTTTCACTCTGTACACCTCAGATTTCCAGTACAAAACAGACTCCTGTCGTCTGCAGAAATATTCAGATGACTTTGCAGTGGTCACGTGTTTCAGAGATGGACAAGAAGCTGAGTACAGGGAACTGGTGGACCACTTTGTGGCATGGTGTGGAAACAATCATCTCATTTTGAATTTGAACAAAACAAAGGATGATTGTAGATTTCAGGAGAAACCGGAACAGGTCCAACCCTATTTCCATCATGGGAGAAGAAGTGGAGGTGGTGGAGAAGTATAAATACTTTGGGGTTCACCTGGACAACAGACTGGACTGGAGATGCAACAGTGAAGCCGTCTACAAGAAGAGACAGAGGAAGTTGAAGTCCTTCAATGTTTGCAGCAAGATGCTGCATATCTTCTATAAGTCTGTTGTAGAGAGCGTTAGCTCTTCTGCCATCATCTGCTGGGGCAGCAGCACCAGAGCAAATGACTTAAAAAAGATCAACAAGCTCATAAAGAAGGCTGGCTCAGTTCTAGGGACTCCTCTAGAACCTTTGGAGATGATTGTTCAAAGAAGGATTCTTCGTAAAATGAAGAACATTATAGACAACCCTCAGCATCCTCTTCATCAGACTGTCACAACAACAGTATCTTCAGTCAGAGACTTCTTCAGATCTGTTGTAGGACAGACCACTACAAGAGATCCTTCCTGCCCACAGCTATCAGCATCTAGAACAACTCTTTAATGAATCCAGGATGATGAGTTACAACATTTAATTTACCTTTGAATTAATAAAGTATTTTTGAATTGAAATGACTGGTGACACAAAGGAAGCAAGCCAACGTCAGATAAGAATTTCTTATTATTCCAATAAAAAATACATTCATACAGAAATATAACAATTTTGCAAAACAATTTCAAATAAAATTTTCATAAAGCATAAACATAACAATTTTACAAAAGTTTTTTTTTTTTTGTACAAAGATTCAGTTGAGAACAAAGAGCTGTGTGTGAGAGAACAGCTGAGGTGGTGGGATGAAAGAGATGATGGAAATGTTTAAAAGATGCAAAGAAGAAAATGGAGCTAAATCAAGGCTCAATTATCACTTGGAGTATCGGCTGCTGTTTGTACAGAACTTCGGCTGCTCTTTGCCCACCAGAGGCATCGCCAGCACTCCCAGATCTACCGCAATAAGCAGTTTGAAGTTCGTCCTCATCTGAAATCTATACATCGGATGGAGCTTGTCACAATGCGACTTGCAGCAACATTGGATTCCTAAAGCGCGGTTGCCAACCTGGGGGGGTGGGGGGGCACAGATCACTTTATCCTCAAGTACTAATAATTAAACCCCTGGCCTTGTTTTGGGCTCTGGTGTTCCATCATAAATACACCCATCCATCATCTTTACCCGATTCTTCCTTATCGGGTCGTAGGGGTATCTGGTGCCCATGTCCAGCTATCGCTGTGCGAGACAAGAGAGACACCTGGACAGGTCTCCAGTCCATCACAGGGACACAGAGACAACCATTCACTCGCTTACTCACACCTAGGGACAATTTAGTTACCAATCAGACTAACATGCATGTTTTTGGTCTGTGGGAGAAAATCCACGCATGCAAACTCCACCAGAAAGGGCCATGGCCGGGATTTTGACCGGTGACCTCGCCGAGAGGCAACAGCTCTACAAACTGAGCCACTGTGTCGCCCTCATTAGAAATCCATCATCCTCAATGTTCAACGACAAAGATACAATTTTCTTTTGCCGAAACTTTAATATACAGTCAACTGATGATCGCCCCCCACCCCTGGTCACCCGCTCATCTCAGTGGTTTCCATAATAATGTTGCAGCTTGGCTAAAACAACGCGCTCCAGACAGGTCAATAAGCAACCTACACAGTCAGCAGTCTGTGACAGATTCCATGCCAACAAAGCCTTTAGCAATTCATTACCGAGAGGCAGTACAAGGCGAGGCCTGTCCGACTGCAGCCTGTTAATTACAATAAATCTTTAGCTTTTTCTTCAGTCTCACTTGCAGAGGGAGGGTGGTACTGGTGGAGGAAAGACCACCACTGTATTTCTTAGTCATTTGTACCTCTGTGCTGCACAACTTCGACATTCTTTACATGCTGCACAGTAGTAAACCCAATTAAAAGTGCTAAATACATAATCAGACTTATTTTACAGATGCTCCAACTCAGAAATGTACAAACAAAGAAAGGCAATCAACTGAGAATCTGTATTTTTGTGAACATTTCTAGTTTTACAACAGTCGGATCACGTCACGACCACAGATCGGTTGTAACTGAGCCTTGATGGAGCTCGTCAAATCACCCGGACAACAGACGTGGCATCCCGGGAGCGTTCCTCGACTGCCACAGGGCTGAGCCACTTGCATAAGGCACCATTAAGGTCAACAGTGCATTATTAGATACAAAGTACACAATTTAAAATATGCAAAAAAATTAGTCCTCGAGGCATTCAATGAATGAATCTACACTACTCCAAATACTGTGTATATAAAAACAAAAATATAAAACGCATGTTGTGGTTTGTGTCGTTCTTCTAAGCACAAACTCGCAGATAAATTTCTAAAAACTTTTCTAAATTAAAAAAATAAATAACTCCATTGTTGGTGCTTTTGAGTGGACTGGAAAACTATCGGGATTTTCAGATTCAGTGATGAACCGGTCCATTTTGTGCACGGCCACGATCACTTTGTGTCCTAGAAACCAAAACGACAATGGAGCAGCTTTACCGCCTTTTTTTTTTCTTTTAAGTCATCTTTTTATTCTGATCCTTTCAACTTTAAAACTTTGTTTACATGCTGAAATGGTTAACAACTGAGTGGAAGTTGTAAACAGTATCCAAAAGAATAATAAATAAAATTGTTTTGAAGTTTAAGCCAAGCAAAGAACGTTCTCTTCTTTGAATTTTAACGTTAACATTTGATGGACAATATCGCCACCTAGTGGCTCGGCATAATAAGTACATTTTGTTAGAGTCCCGCAGACAAAAACAAAACTTTAAAATTAAAATATGTGGAGTAGTGTACACATTAAAAGGAAACCGGAACAAGAGATAGATGCAAATGTGAAAACAGAAAAAAAATCAAGGTTTTATGTACAACATTGTAACATTTAACCGTTTTAGCTGCACTTTTATTGAAACTATTTGCAGTCCTGATTACAGTGGAAACTGGAATTGAAGAAACCCTAGAACCATGCAACACCTGTCTATGATACGGAAGTTATAGTATAGTCGTGTTATACCCCTAAGCACACAGCTTATAGTCGGGACTAGAAAATGAGCTTTGTAGCTTGTAAAAAATTATAAACCAGGCTACATAACACATTGCACATTTAGTAGCTGCACCAAAAAATAAAAATAAAGAAAATTACCAAACGAAGCTCCTGTCATAGTGACCTGATGGAGGGAGAGGGGTGTTCTTCAACCCCTGGGTTACAGACCAGATGGTGACATGCTTCTCTCTCTGGTTCGACTAGAGAAGCATCGTCCCCCCCATTTCAGAGTCAGGGTGCTAGACTTGTCCTCACACTGCCACTTGGGAAAACAGCAGGAATAATGTTCCCCCCAGAAACTCACTCGGTCCACAGCAACATTGGTACCAGCCCCAACACCGATCCACCTCTTCTTCCTTCGCTCCTCTAAGTGGGGGGGCCGGTCAGCCAATCAGACATTCACAGTGCACCATGCTTACATCAGACAGGTTTGTAAAGTACCAGTGTATCTGCTGCGTGGGAGACGTCCCCAAAACATCATGCACCATACGCACGTTTCATTCACTCTTTATGCTTCGCTCTTTTTTGTGTCATTAATTGAAAACTTTTTTTTTTCCTTCCCCCACCCGATCCATGATTTTGTCCTCTTGTTGCGACAGTCAACCTTCAGAGCACCCCTCTCCATAAAAGGACGGGTCCGGAGGCACTGGGTTCTCAGTACGGTGCAAAACGGCATGCTTTGGCTGGAACACACTCCCGCCACTCTGCTCTGGGACAGTTCAACCAAGAGACTGGTCGGGAGATGGCGTTTGATGGTTTTTTTTTTTCCCATTCTAAGAAAAAAAAAAAGGTAAAAAAAAAAAATCCCCTCGTGTTGCTTGGTTGGTGCCGGTCCTGCTTTAGATGTGCCTCTTCATGTGAAGAGCCAGATGGTCAGACCTGGAGAAGCATCTGGGGACATGAAGAACCAAGAAGGTCAGTTGACATAGTTATGCAAATCATGGCATCAACATTCACAAATATTCTCCTCCTTTAGTCACTATTAGCTGAATTGGCTCGACTTTTTTGGACAATATTCAAAAACCTGGCGTTACTATATGTTTCAGTGTCGAGCTGTAACCAGGGCTGCTCGTTGTCACAATTCGGTTCATAACCTTTATGGACAGAGTTTCTCTGTGCAGCCAGGGAGCCTCAGGATTCATCTCTGCTCTTTGCAGATGATGTGGTCCTGTTGGCGTCATCGCGCCGTGATCTCCAGCTCTCACTGGAGCGGTTCACAGCAGAGTGTGAAGCGGCCGGGATAAGAATCAGCACCTCCAAATCTGGGACCATGGTCCTCAGCGGGAAAAGGGCGGATTGCTCACTTCAGGTCGAGGGTGAGGTTTTGCCTCGAGTGGAGGAGATCAAGTATCTCACGGGCTTGTTTATGAGCGAGAGAAGAATGGAGCGTGAGACTGATAGATAGATAGATTTATGCAGAGTCTGCAGTATTGCGGACTTTGTACCGGTCCGTTGTGGTGAAGAGGGAGCTGAGCTGTAAGGCAAAGTTCTCTACAGTCAGACTACGTTCCTACGCCCACCTGTGGTCATGAACTCTGGGTAGTAACTGAAAGAATGAGATCATAGATACAAGAAGTTAAAATGAGTTTCCTCTGCAGGATAACTGGATTCTCCCTTAGAGACAGGGTGAGAAGTTCAGTTATCAGGAGAGACTCAGTAGAACCGCTGCTCCTCCACATCGAGAGGAGCCAGTTGAGGTGGTTCAGACATGTCTGACTGGGAGGAGACTCCAGGGAAGACCCAGAACTCACTGGGAACGCCTTGGAGTCCTCCCAGATGAGGTGGAAGTGGGTGGATGGATGGAGCTCTACACTTTTGCCTGCCTGAGTGAAACACAGCAACGCTGTTAATCTGTTCAGATCTGTGTCGTGGCTCAGATGACGCAGAGAAACAAAAAGCAGCCGTATCATGGTCTGCAGCTTACCTGTCACAGTGATTGCATTTAAATGGCTTGGCCCCCGTGTGCTTCCTGAAGTGTCTGGTCAACTCGTCGCTCCGCGCAAAGCGCCACTCACAGCCCTCCCACGAGCACCTGTACGGCTTCTCACCTGTACAGCAGACACGGGACACAATGAACGGAGCGAAAACTTTACAACAAAGAGCTGTGTTCATCCCTCGGAGATTGCTGTTATTATTCCAATCAGTCAGCCCGGGGGTGGGGGTGTGATAGCAAAGGTGCTGACAAGCGCTCAAATTCCACCAAACCTGTTGGCTCAGCGTTGTTTTGATGCAACCTGAAGCATGCCAAGAATGCTAACGGGGTTGCTATTGTGATGTAGAATATAAAAGAAATAAAAAGACGGAAATGAAGCCACGAGGTGCCACGTCATGATCCAACTACAAAAACATACAAATGACCATTCAAGGCTTTCCAAACTCAGACCCCTTTAGTTCCCCCCACCCGTTCACCCCTTTCCCATGGTGAAACTCAATCTGTTTTCAAGTTCTTTTATCTCCCATGTGCGGCCCCCCTCCCTCCCTCCCTCCCCCCCTGGCTCCGTCAGTCACATTCCACACAGATTAGGTCACAGTTTAGATATCCAGCCAAGCGGAGCTAATGCTCGCAGCGCTCCAGCTGAGGACAGCATGCAACACAGACCTTTAATTACATTACACAACGGCTGGACGGTGTCATTTAGGTGGAAGACTGAATTAGCAGCACTTCCGGCGTTCCCTCAATAAAACCTGGTTTTTATTTTAAGCCCAAACAGATGACGGCGGCCCCGCCTCCTCAGGTTCCTGCTCTCTGTTTACACTCATCACATGTGGCGCCGTCAGACTGAAACTCACCCGTGTGAGTGCGCTGGTGTGCTTTTAGGTGCGAGCTCTTCGTGTAAACCTTGCGGCACCCGTTGAAGTGACATTTGTGCACTCTCCTCCGGCCGTCCGGAGACGCCTCCCCGCACAGTCCAGTCTTGTCCGAACCCTTCGCCGCCACCGCCGTTGTCCCGCTGCTCCTGATTTTCACTGGCAAGTGCAGCTCGGCGTGCGAGGCCACCCAGCCGTTCACGACGGCCCCAGCCTCCGGCGTGGCCTCCGGAGAGGACGGGGGAGTGCTGATGACAGAAGGGCTAAAAGGTCCAGAGCCCACCAAGACAGAACCCAAAGGGTTGGAGGTAAAGCTGTGCATGGGCGAGAGCTCCTCTGAACTGTCTGAAGCCTCGCTACTGGCGTCCGAATTCACACTGTTGCTGTCCAAGATGTGGCTGTCCTGATGGTCCTCCTCGTGGGCCGAGGGCAGCCTCGGGTCATATTCGGCCTTGGGCTTATCCCCGCAGGCCAAAATCAGCTTGCTCCAAAGGTCCTCCTGGCTGTCGAACTTGAGGTCGGACGTGGAGACGTAAGGCTCGCTCTGTAGGTAGCGCTCCAACTCCAAGCAGGTCTGAAAAAATAAAAGAGAGGCGGTTCACTCACACCAGGGAATCCTCTTAAATCATGCATGTGCACGTCCCAAATACGCTTTGATGGTGTAATATTTGCATAAAGCAGGAAGTGCAAACTAGGAAATCCCAGCTATCCTTGCACTTTAAGCATCAGGCTTGTGTTAGAACTTGGGTACATATTTGTATCATTTTGTAGCACTAATTTACACACAAAACTAAAATGGATGGAACAATTCCTCCACCAGACAAGTGACAGTCCAGACTCAACAGGAAAAAATAAAAATAAAATAAAAAATCAGCAGTTTGTACTTCGTCAAGCTTTGCCTCAACTCTCCTCCACTGAACTTCAGCAAAGAACCCACGGCATTCTGGAGTGAGCCGAGCTCTGCACGCTGAGCACCAGTGTCACTCCATTATGACTCACTGAACTCATTTTTAGAGTCCTTTTAAGGAAGCTGCTCAATTTCCCCCTGCAGCCTCAAAGGGCCATTCAGCTGCTTCTCCTCCAGCCACTGACAGCGAGCACATCCTGCCTCCGCAGCTCCAGTGAAGCACAGACACACCGACCCGCTCCAGTTTGATGATGTGGAGCCCGTTAAACAGCAAGATGCTCATGATTTGATGCTTGGAGATAACACACGTGAAATAAAGATTTTTGTTTCCCTCCAGGCTATATGCAAGGAGGAATGTGTCATGTTGTGCAACACTTTTAAATCTAGGGTTGATGCAGGAATTAATTAATAAAATTATTAAATCTAAAAATAAAAAAAGGTATTTGTGCAGATTGTAAAAACTCAAGGCAGAAGACTAAATCTGATTCTCTCACTTCCACTTCTCTTTGGAGTGAACGCATCATGAGGCAAAAAGAAGAAGCTGCAAAGGGAAAAAGCACCAGCGAGCTGCTGCTGATCGAGTTGCTGTCTTCCCATTCACAGTGAACGCAGCACAGCCTCCAGCTGTCAGACTGACACTGATCCAGCAACTTCAGAACGAAACTGATAATAAAACAAGAAAACTGAGCAAACGGGCTCCGTCTAAATAACGGACGCATACATTTACAACCGTTATACATGTATACATGATGATTAAAAAAAAATAAATATAAAAACACTTGGCTGAACTCGGCGGCGTGGTCAATGACAGGACAGTGAACGCAGCTCAGTTCCGTTTACAAACAACCAGCCGAAAACAAACAGATTAAATATTTCATAAAATAGTTACCTGCTGCCAGTACTCCTCCAAGGACGGCAATGCTGAGAAATAGCCCGTGTCGTGAACTATTTGAAGTTCTTGAAAAATACTACACATTGGTAAAACATCCATTTTCCCCCGAACTTCTACGTCTGTGTAAGAATAAACTATGAACAGCTACGTTTTCAGACGACAAACAATAAATAAAAGCGATAAAAAGGATTCCTCGCGATGCGAACAAACACTTGTTTTCAGCAGCAGTGAAATCAACAGTCCTCGTCCTTCAACTCGCCACTTCCTCCTCTCCGCTCGAGCACAAGATATTTGCAAACAACAGCGGACTGGATGACGGACAACTGCGCTCTGCAAACTTCCCTATTCAAACCTCCAAGCCCGCCGCCCCTCCTCCTCCCACCCGGATCACGTGCAGCGTCTTAGCCAATCAGCAGCGAGCAGCCTAGGCGACCGCAAATGACATCACGGTCGACCAATTGCAGCCTGCGCCTCCGTTTCAGTTCGGATTGTCTCCGTTTTGATTGGTTCGACTCATAGGTGCTCTCTGCTGATTGGTCAGTTATTTTTAGGCTTCTATATAAGGCGGTGGCGTTCTCTTTTCTTCGGCAGTATTCGTTGTCGGCTTCACGTTACTCCACGTCCAGCGTAAGTGAGCTGAAATAGTCGGACTGTTCTTATGTGGAAAACATAAGTGCAACTCTTTGTCGCAAGTACCAATTGCAACATACCCCGGCTCAGAAGCGCTGTCGCTGGTGGAAAGCAAGTGTTGACATTAGGCTGTAAAAAGTTCCACTCAAACAAGGCTCGTCTCCGGACACGATGACTAATGGATGACAGGATATTATTATGGTATCAAACAACACATGAGCTCAGAGGAAATCAGCTTCATGACTGAAACCCATAAACTCAGCCTACTTCTACTACTCTACCACAGATAAAAGCTGCACTCTCCCCTATTACAGAAGTTTGACACGTGTAGTTTCCTTCTTGTAGTTAAAAACTGTTTTTCTAAGCTAATTTGCACTTTAAAGAGCATAAGGCAGAGTTAATATTCAGAAGAGGATCCTGAAAGAATTTTGTTTTACCCCAGTGTAAATAGTATGATACAAGGTATCAAATACTGTACAAATTATTTCCAAGATTTTTTTTTCTTTCATTCAATCTTTAGTCTCATTGACCTGTTTTAAACAAAGAACACAAATAAGGCACACACAATAATATAGTCATATAAAATCATTAAAAATGACAAATAGAAGAAATAAAAATGAGACAAAAACAGATGCATTATAAAGTGATGTAAAATACTAAAAACAGGAACTTGTCTGCTATGAACTTAGCAGTTGTTTAAACTCCCTTAGAGATGTCAAAGTCGACAGCTTCAGATCTTTTTGCAACGTGTTCCAGGAGCGGAGTAGGAAAAGGCCCTTTTGCCAAATTCAGTTCTCACTGAGGGAACACTGCATGTAATAATGTCCTGAGAGCGCACGCTGTAGTTGCACTCACGCAGAGACATGTAGGAGGAGATAAAGGCAACAAACCGAGAAGTGATTGAAAGATGAAGATGTGCCAGTGGGAGAGTCTGTGTGAAGTTCGTAATAACAAATTGACCAATGAATACAGAGTGCAGTGATGGTGCAGATGCAGTTATGGATCTTAGCGCACCGTGATAGACAGCATCCAACATCTACAAGGAGTTCGCAGGAGCATTCATGTAAATATTATCACTGTGGTCTAGAAATGAGAAAAATGTCTTCTTTTTTTTTCGTACTTTAGAAAAAGTATATGGCCACTGTGAAAGTAGTTTCAAGCCTTGTATTGTTTGTTAATTAAAACAATGCATTTCACAGTGCTGTTTACACTACTCTGGATATTTTTAAATAATATTTTATCATATTTATAAATGGTAAAATGGACTGTATTTGTATAGCACCTTTCTAGCTTATCAAGATACTCAAAGCTCTTTACAACACAACCCGTGCCCTCATTCACCCATTCATACAGCACTCTGCTAGATCTCTACAAAGAATAATCAGAGCTTTATCACATTCATAAAACGATGGGACAAACAACGGAGATAATGAGGGGTTCAGTGTCTTGCCCATGGACACTTCAGCCTGTGACTGCTGGTGGTATTGAACCCCCAACTCTTGCATTGGAGGACGACTGCTCTAACCACTCAGCCACAGTCACCCCACATATTTATGTAAAAAGGATTTTAATAAAAACACTGTAATATTCATGCTGTGGCACTAGGTGGCGAGACAATACATATCATAGAATTTTTTTTTTAAAAGAACGAACTTGGGTAAAAATGATCCAAAAATAAAGGTAACCAAAGTATTAACAGCAATTCACTTTTTCCACATTTTATGTTTCAGCCTTATTTCAGATTGTATTAAATTAATCTCTCTCCTCAAAATATAAAAAAAATTCGGACGTTTCTTCAACAGTGGTTTTCTCTTTGCCACTCTCCGATGAAGCTCAGACTGGTGAAAAACATGGGAAACAGTTGCTGTATGCACAGTTTCCCATGTCACCTGCTGAATTTTGAACTCCTTTAAAGTGGTTACAGGCATCTTGGAGGCCTCATTCTTTCACAGTTACTCAGTTTGTGAGGATGGACTGTCCTTGGTAGATTTACACGTGTACCATAGTCCTTCAGTTTCTTGATGGTGGATTTAACCAAACTTGGAAATAATTTGTATCCATCTCCTGAATTGTACTTTTAAAAAATATTTTCTCTGAGTTGCTTAGAGTCTTCATTTGTGTTCATGGTGTAATAATAGTAGGCTGTTTAACCGTGAATATTTCCAGATACAGGTGTTCCTATTCTTCAATCACTTGAGACACATCCACTGTTCTCAGGTGATTCCATTTCACTAATTGTGTGACTGCTAGCACCAAGTGGCTGGATCTCTGTTAAGTTAGGACAGTAACTTTAAATGGGTTGAATATGTATGCTATCACTCATATCTTAATCTAATTGGGTGTTACTCTAGATATGTTGTTATGTTTTGACACTGAAGATTTTTCTTTTTATTTATTTTGTCAAAAAGGCTAATTTATATTCAACATGACTGATTTATCTAACAGCATTAAAAGCACTAACCATCCAAGGTGAAGACTTTCTATAGACACTGAACAACACAGCTGTATTTTTACTCCTGGTCCACATTTATCAAAAGTAATAAATTAAAAAAAGTTTTCACCTTTAAGATTTTTTTATTTATTATTTTAATATTTCATACAGTTTAATTAGTTTATTCACTTGTTCATCCCTTCTGTTACTTCACCAGCATGTCCATTCAGGTTCGATCACCACTCTCTATCTCTTCATCCAGATCCTTCCAAGGTTTAGCTTTCTCCTCCACATCACATCCAACAGGTGGAGCACATCCATTCATCCATCCATCCATCCATCCATTATCTTTACCCACTTCTTCCTTTTAGGGTCGCGGGGTTTCACTGGTGCACATGTCTAGCTATCACTGTTCGAGAGGTGGGGGACACCCTGGACATGTCTCCAGTCCATCACAGGGACACAAAGAGACAAACAAAAAAAAAAAAAACCATTAACTCTCTCACTCTCACCTAGGAGCAGTTAGAGTTACCAATCAGTCTAACATGCATGTTTTTGGTCTGTGGGAGGAAACTGGAGTACTCGGAGAAAACCCCTCACATGCACGGAGAGAACATGCAAACTCCACCCAGAAAGGACCACTGGGATTTTAACCAACAACCTGCTAGCTGAGAGGTGGTAGCTCTACCAGCTGCACCACCACCATGCTGCATGAAGTGTAACCACTGACAACATTTAGCATCAGACCTTCTACTTCTACCTTCAGACACATCACCCTATCTGACACTCTCTTCACCTCTACTACATTATTTGCCAACTCCGGCTTCAGGACCACCCTACTCCATTTCTCTTTCTATCCACACCATGGTAAAACAGTTTGAACCCTGCTCCAATGCTGCGAGCCTTGCTGCCCTTCCACTTGGTCTCTTGGACACATAAAACATCTACCTTCCTTCTCTGCATCATGTCAGCCAGCTCTCTACCTTTGCCTGTTATTGTCCCCACATTTAGAGTTGTAACTCTCAGTCCTACATTCTTGACTTTCCTCTTCTCCCTCTGTCTCCTGACATGTTTCCCTCCTCATGGTCTTCGACTAATAGTAGCACAATTTCCGCCGACACCCTGTTTGTCAACAGCACTGGTGGCGGTCGTTGTTAACCCGGTCCTCGACCGATCCGGTATGGTGTCGCTTTGATGAACTGGCATATTCGTTTTGGCAAAAGTGTTTTATATCTCATACCATTCCTGACACAACCCTCACCATTTACCCAGGCTTGGGACCGGCACAAGAGAAACACTGGTTTGTGCTCCCTAGTGGCTGGTTTAAACTAAAATCATCTCATGTTAGGAAATTACAGAGTTGTTGCCATTTTTGAAAAGGACATTGCAAAATTGAAAGATGTGAATGGCTCTGATCTACAACTACACCACACTTTAGCTTGTTTTCTGTACATGTGAATTAAAGCCACGCTTGTGTAGTCTAAGGTCAGGTGGCTTTGACGGTGAACTCAACTGGAGTTTTCTCCAAATGTTGATAGTTGTACAGGTATGTCTCGTTATTATTTCCTGAATTTTTAATTAAAACCAAACCAGTGTTTCATCATGAGATAGCTTTGTAACAGATGGACAAAGTTGACTCCAAATAATGTGTGCATAACCTTTGCACAATCTCTTAGAGCTCAGAATGTGTGTTGGAGATCACTTTCACTAGTTTTTAGAATAACAAGTAAGATTTTTTACAAAGTATGCTGAGAAAATGTTTATATGGTTGAGAGCATGATTGGCACACCTTCTCAGTGGGACTTGGTTAAGTTAAGAATTTCTTTATAAAAGCGCATACTTCACATAAAAAAACTTTTTTTATTTTATTTTACAGCTTCATTGAGGGTCTACACTTGGTGTTTTAAACTTGTTATTGAAGAAGCTAAAATCCTGTTTGTGTATTCAGACATAAGCCGAAGCTATACAAAAACTGAATAAAAAATTAACCCAAGGTGTTTCTCACTTTCATGTTTACCCAAGTAGAAGTATGAACATCACAGCGAGATTGCAACAGCCAGAATTCCTCTCGTCTGTTGATACTCCCCTGCATTTTTCATGGGGTAGCACTTCATTCCAGTGACATTCCAGCACATATTTGGCAGTGACTACGTCATCCTGTCTCTGCCTTATCATTTCCTGTGTGGAGAAATACTCATGTGCCATGGCAGCATCTCTCGCGTCGCGGCAGCATAAAGCCTCTCTGCAGCCTCGCTGCCACTGCCC